TGATAAGGGAGAAAAAAGACGCAGAGAAGAAACATGTTTAAATTCTTTGAACTTTATCCGACACAACGACAGGATTATTTTTTCGAATCGCTTCACGTTCCATCGTCTTGTAGTCAAATTGGCAATTGTGCGCCTGATCGTAACGATGATCTCCGCAGTACAGTCCTCCGCATCTACACGTGAAACCTGCAAAAAATTGGAAATTTAGGTACAATTGCAGAGCTATGGGCGTGGAGTTGGCAATGTTCAGGCCTCGCGCACCTCAGACGCATTTTCAGTTCTGTGAACATCCGGACTGAAATGCTCACAGACTGGAAAGACGGCTGTCTAGACGCGCGGATAAGCTCGCTCGAATCGGTTTGAATTTTTTTTTCAGTCTGTTCACGAGCTTTTGGTGCGACCGGACATCTGGACACACAGGTACTGCAGGCCCGCGCGCCTCAGACGCTCGTGCAGCCCGTTTTCTCACTCATTTCCGTCATTATCCAAATACTCACCAGTAAGTCCAACCCGTTTTTTACACATATGGCATCTATTCGCTTTTTTCACCGGGGCAGGCGCGTCCGTGACGGCGACTGGTGGCGACGTTGTTAATGTTGTCGTGAGCGCTGTGCTTTCAGCAATTCTGAAAATGAGGGATAATTAGAAAAAAATAGTTCTAGAGTGCTCTGAGACATACGTCACAGCGTCTTCCGTAATGTTAATCACTTCCTCGCAGTCCAACTTCACCGTCGTCGCATCCGACACAGCTGCGGCGGCTGCTTTCATACAAATTTCCACACTTGATGGGTCAGATTTAAGGGCGGAGGAGGTGGCGGCCATTGATGAAGGGGAGACAACTGAAAATATTGATTTTGAGTTGAGAAATCGTTGCTTGCTTGCGCCTTCAAGGCATCTCTCCTGACCCAATCATATTCAAACCCAAAAACCCTCCCAAAAAAAGTACATGCGCCTTTAAGGTACATCTCTACCATAGTTCTAACCCCAAAACATGATATAAAGTGGAGTATCACATGACCAAGAGACACCCCACAGCTGATAAGATTGGTCAGCAACAGCCAATCAGGCGGTGAAGAGGGAGGGGTGATGATGATTAAATAAATTTCAGATCATAAATCCAATTCTTGATTTTTGATTCAATTTCCGCTCCCCTCACAAAGTTCTTTTGCCATCGCCGGTGAGCTCCAAGGAAAGAGCGCGCGCGCATTAATAATTCAAAAACTTTTTTCATCTAGAGAAGGAGAGAGATTAGTCATCATGTAGGAAAAAATTCCAGCACGAAAGATACATATCTAATATCGCAAGTTCTAGAAGACACGCATAAAAAGAAGCAAGTCTAATGATGATGCTAGTAGAGGAACTTGAGGAGGAACCTAGAAAAGAGAAAATGTCACGGAGCACAGCGCGCGCGGGGGAGGTTCTCTGACCATATGTTCAAAATAATCCCCACTAATAAGGACGCGTTATCCTCAATTATTTAATTCAATTTATATGCAAATTATCCGCGATAATTAATACGAGGAGGACCTCGGGGAGGCCTGAAATTCTAAAATGCTCTAAACAAGGCCTGAAATTCCCCGAAAATGGTCTGAAATCCCCCAAAAATTGTATTCAAAAGACCTAAAAATGGCCTAAAATCCTCTCAAAAACGGGCCTAATATAGGATTTCCTGCCTCCAATACCTATTTTACAGTACAAATCTGATGTAATTTTGTGTAAAATTTGCGCGGGTCAAAAATCACTTTTTGTGTAATAAACTACAAATCGGTCAAGTTTCCTAATGTTTTTTTTTCAAATCAATAAAAAAAAACTTACCAGGAGAAGTCAACCTGACAGCCTCTTGCTGACGCTTCAGCGTATTCTTGAAGCATTGCGAACAGTAGCCCTCCGTGGCGGAGGCGCCAAAAAATCCGCAACCAGCACGGCACGAGGGAGCAGTTTGAGCTTGCTGTTGTTCGTTCTCCATTGGTTGACCTGAGCGACGCCCTGGAAAATGAAATAATGGACTTTATTCGATTGAATCGAGGTTAACGTATGCGATCGATCGAAGACGAAGAAAACAGTCAGAACGATGAAAAAATATATATCGATGATGAAACGATGAAGCGACAGGAAAGAAAGAAAGAAACACACACAGCGAAGACATAAAAGACGTCATCATGTGATCTCTTTCAACCACCACCACCACTGCCTCGTATATCGACAGAAGAAGAGGAAAGGCTAAAAGATTACGAACACGTTGCAGCAACAGCGGCTGCTTTTTGTCACTTTTCCGCCGATCGATTCGGAGGAGAAGTTCTCAAACTTCTTCTCGCCCTCTTTTGACATCAATAAAGAATGTGGTGTGCACTCGGGCTCCAGGACTCCGGAGCTCCCGAGCAGCTCGGCTGATTAACGCCTCCGGGCAGGTGGAAAAAAAGACTCACGTCTATACATTCTTCGAGAGAGAAGGTTGTTTCGAGAGGAAGAGAGTTGTGTTAGTGTGAAGTCTAAATCGAAATAAATCGATTTTCTCTCCCTCGGAGATCAAACTGAACACACGCGGTTCGAACAAGAACTGTAGGGCAAAAAGGCTGTGTCATCACGGGCGACGACGAAAAAAAAGTTGAAAATCGCCAAGAGTGAAAGTATTTTAACACGATAAATGCACTCGGATGGTGGGGAGTGAAAGGACATACCCCTACCAGTGTAGAAGCAACTCTCTCTCTCTCATATGACCGAACACGATGTTGGCGGAGGGTAAAATGGAGAGAGAAAGGCAGGTCACAAGGTGAATTGAAATGCAGTAAAGAACCACCAGAGAAAAGGGGCATTTGACAAAAGTGACTGAACCCGAGATAGTAGAGAGAGCGAGAGTTAGAGA